AGACGGATCTCGGGTAATCGTCTACAGGGCTGAAGAAAATGTTCAGCGTGTGATTCTGTGTCGTGATTCGTAAGCGCTGGTGATCTATACCAGGTAAGATCGAATACCTGAAAGTTCAAAAATACAATGTCAACTCTTCATCTCCATCCACCGACACGTCCCTCGTCCCATCTCTCTTTCCGCTCTTGTCTCAAATAGTACTGGACTTTAGCCTCTCTGTATTTACGCACCCAATCAGTAACCTCCCTCTCCGTCGCCGATACCCCTTCTCCCTCTCCGTCGAGGAAACTCTCCTCCATAGCCTCGCACACCGATGCCTGCTCCTGGACGCCCTGTCCCAGCTGCTGGTATAACGCTGCTGGTGAGAAAGGCGCCAGCGCGTGATCCATGTCAGACTGCTTCTGGCGCCATTGTCGCTCGAGTGTGTGTGTTGAGAGAAGTTGTGCCTGTGTCGATGCGCGTTGATGGGATAGCCGAGCTTCCATGTCCGTGAGTTGGCCAGCTAGGTCGATGTTTTCGTTGAGGGCGGCGGATAGAGCTTGATGCGACACAAGCAGGGAAGGGTGAATGGATTCAGGAGAGTGCGTTAATGCGTTGAGGAGAGTTGGGTTACCAAGCAGTTCAGCCAGGTCTTGTTTTCTTGCCACAGAATTTAGTAGTGCACTCTTGCGACTGGGTTATTACATACGACTTGTCCTGTAGAATCTGAGGAAGCCATTGGTCGCCTGGATCGGGAATTGATGCTGGTGCGTGGTTTACAGTGTTGGAAGGGATTCGGCCTTCGGATGGTGGAGGCACGCCTGATGAGGTCGGTGTCGCAATGCGACTCGTCTCATGGCTGCCAGGCTTGGGGGGAAGAACAGGAGGAGTTGCGCCCTGCATTTCAGTTGCGAAGCTTGCCATTGCAGGTGTCACTCCGCTGTTCTCTTTGCAATTGGGAAGTACCTTGGTTAGGAGTAAATGCGATAAGGAGTTACCTTAGGTAGGTAAACTTCCATTCCCGTTGAATTGGAGTTGGAAGATGCAGGTCTAAAGTGGGGAGCTTCTGACAGATTATGTCATAGGTCTAGTCCCTACGTTTCAGGTATTATCAATCTCAGAATAATCAGAACATTACAGAGTAAAGAAAGTGGAATATTACAAGCCAAATACGTCATCTTATCATCTGAGCTTTCTATTCTCATTGCCTCGATTGACTTATTGAGATCTAGAATGTTTCTTCATTGACTCGATTCCTCTTATGTACTGATTCCGACCAACACCCCTATTGTTTTACAATTCATGCCCGTCTTCACCAACTGAGAATGATAGATCCATGCGTACTTGCCGGAGTCGACGCCCAGCTTAAGAAATAACAACTCGACAATCAGTCGACAGATGAGAGTGATGACAGAATGGAAGGAAAGCTTTCATGGCCTGACAGACCACAGATCCCGAGACCAACCCATCTCTCGCAGCTTCTTGCTGCCAGTGCTCGCGGTTCTCTTTTCGCCAGTGCTGATGGCTAATGCCTTGCTGCTAGCAGCAAATACTTCCACCAGCTCCTTCATTCTTCCAGCTTCTAAGAATGCAACCGACAGATCCGAATCGCGCTCTGCAACGATGGAAGCAAGCTCCATACACTCCAGGAGGTTGTCTCGAGACAAGCCAGTGCCAGCAAAGTGCAGCGTGCCAACGTATGCTAGAACTGTTTCGGGTAGATAGGCTTGACGGAGATCTTGTAGTTCTTGATCACCTTCTAATTTGTGTGTCAGCACTGAGATGTGGCCTGGTGATAGGGGCTCACTTACCCTCGATGCCCACCAGGAGCCAGTTCTTGAGAAGAGGCTGCATGTTTTCTTTTGTGTTCTTGACTTCATCACCAATAGCATTCCAGAACTCTCGGTTTTTCTTTTGGTCCCTGTCTCTCGTTAACATCATGGCCGTGCCTGCTCCAGGGTTTTCTATTTTGGCGTACTCGTTTGTAAGCTCGGCTAGCGACGCGACTGTCTCCAAGCTATCCAGGGCTCGCACTAGATTCTCCAGCTCGCGGAAATTTCGGGCATCTGAAAGTGCTTGTTGCGGTGTCACGTCCCGAATACCTCTCCGATCAAGTTGCCTGGCCCAAAACTCGGGAATGTCTTCGTATAACTCTATCTCATCACCGTTTTCTTCTGTAGCTGCATGAAGGACCTCTGAAAATGGAACTCGCTTCATCAGCTGACGAGCAGCGCTGAGGTGCATGTTGCCTAGGGCGTTGTCAGTTTTCGACCGATGGCTTACAGCAAAATAACTCACGCAAAAAGAATTTGTAGATCTTGGTTCCCATAGACAACACGTTGGGCCATGTTTCTTGCACCAGTACCAGCCACTCTAGTGATCGGATGAGGTTCTCATGTGCCTGGTCAACGAATCTTTCATCATCACCAAAGAAATCGGGCCTCACAGGACGACCGCTGCGTGAAGTAGGTGGGCCAGGCTCAATGATGCTAAACCCTTCCTTGGCAGGACATCCATGCTGCGCCGGACCCAGATCATCGAACAGAAGCCATGCCTGAGTCTTGACAAACTCCAGCACGTCGATGCCGGCTTTCTTAATAAGTCTCAGTTGTAGTAAACGTCGGCTCGCCTCATTTTCGGGAATGAGGTTGTAGCTAAGCACCTCATATGACCGAGGGGGTTCCAAAATCGAACAGTAAAGAGGTATTAACTCATGAAACTCGGCAAGGCGAAGATAATTCGCGTACCCGGCAATGAGGTTCTGTTGGGACCGTCTCATTTCAGGGGGGGAATAGGCAGGGGCGAGAGAATCGTCCTTCGAGTTCAGCTTATCCAAGAGGTTGATGAGGAGATAGATATGTGCGACGATACGCAGGCCGTAGTGTTGCGTAGACAGAAAGAACCTCTCCTTGTTTACCTCAAGCTTACTAGGCTCTGATCTGTAGAGTGCTGACTCGTTGTGATTTGCGCCAGAAGAGATGATGAAGCCCTGCTGATAAAGATGTTGGCCAATTTCCTTGGAAATTAGTGATGCCTGCAACGCCTTATTGGGTTCGTTCGCTTCGTCTTTGATCTGAGGGTTGGCTTCCAGGGCTCGGATTAGGCGCATGTCAACTGTACTTGGCTCACCGTGGAATTGAATAGCGTCAAATGAAGGAAAGGATTGTGTGAGGTTTGAAGCAACGTCGGCTGGGCATTGTCCAAGTATGTAGTTGTCAAGCTGTGTGCGTAGCAATGCATTGTAGTTCGCGAAAAGAAAATCATCCCAGTTCAGGGCAACTTTCTCGACGCTCGGGATGTCTCCTGATAGAACACCATATACCGCACGCTCGTAGTCATCACAACCACCAGATCGAGACAAGCTGAAGCACATTCGTCGCCACAGAGCAAGTGATGCTGGTTTAGTGTCGGTCACTCCCTGGCTGTCGTCGGCCGAAACAAGTATCGCAGAGGTCGAAATAGCCCGCCACATTTCGGTTCGTTCTTGGCACCATTCACGAATAGACTCCAAACTTGATCCTCGGCGGAGGTGTTCCCAGCAACCCAACCAAATAGCACGCTCGAAATACTCATCTTGCGGTTCAAGCTTTCGTCCCTGGCGAGTCGCAGCGTCTGGGTCCAGTTGTGTCACCAGAGGTGAGCCATCTGAGGTATGAAATGAGGTTGCAATAGCTGGTGACTGGCGATCCAGTAGATGGGGCCAAGCTGTTACGCCCTTCCGAAGCTTGATTGAGGAGCGAGTGTGAAGCCAGCCGTGAGCGATGATATCTCCACGGTCGGCATTTTGCTGGAGTTCATGCGCAAGCTCGTTGATATCCGGCCCCGAAGAAGCATTGCTCTGGAGCCATTGTATGACTGCTTGACGTTCTCGCGCCGATGAATCACTAGCAAGGAAACTCTGAAGCAGGTCTCCTGAATCCACGGAGCTCTGTTCGGTTTTGGAAGCGCTCTGCCCGTCATCAGAACTAGCATATCTCAGTGGAAGGAGCCTGCGCAATAGATCCCATGTCTGCGCTTCTCTCTCGAGACGTTTGACAAGCTCTGCTGAGGCAGGGTTGCTATTAGTACCATCATCGTCTGCATCCATATCGACATCGTCTTGTCCATTGCGCGTCATGCGCGGTCGGACCTGTGCTAGGCGTCGAAGAGCATTCTCATAGTATTTTCTTGGTAGGTCTATAATTCGTTCTCGTCGTTCTTCGTTTGAGAGGGGAGGGGAGAGACAGTCGTCGAGCGCGTTGGCGAACTCTTCGACCTCGGGCCCGGCTTCGTAAGATAGAAATTTCTCAGCCTCGACAGGTGCCATTTCAGTGACTCAGGTTGGCCTGTCTTGGGGATTGTCAAGTCGAGTGTATGGTTTAGTACACAGCGCGAAAGCAAACAACCCTTTTCGGCAGGTTTCGGCCGACAGGTCAAACGTAGAGATCGATAAATGCCGTAAGCATGCCCAGTATGGGGGTGGGTATTTTGTCGCGTGTATCGCTTTTGTGAGCGTCAAGGAAGGATTATGCTCATGAAGTTTGCCGACGATGCTTATGTAGGTAGGTTTGATACTCAGGCAGAAGCATCAAAGAATTGTTTTGGTTGCAGTAGCACTGGCGCGCTAGAAGGTTGGAGCTACCTAATAGGTACGTACTGTTATTTTGTTAGGTACCTAGGTACCTACCTACCAAGGCACTACCTGCCTTTTAAGCAAGCTCAGACTTTTGCGCTGTAAAAGGAAAACAGCCGCGATTGCACGCGCGCGTATCGTACAGTGTATGAACGGGAGTATTCGCACTTAACACTGTTCTGATTCAAGTACGTCTCCACCAAACAGCAAATTTGTTTTTTTTTTTCTTCTTCTCTATCATAATGTCATCGGCATTCGTATTAGAGTCTCGGAACAGGCCTTCAATGCTTGTTCAGGTCCATGAGGCCTCTTGCGTGCTCAACGATCGCCTAGAAGAGATTCGGCGCTCATCATTCAAGTTGCCAGCGTTTCCCAAACCGGCGGACACATCAAAGACGAGCGTTACATATCATTTAGCTTCCTCCCGGAGTTGCTTCATCTTGAGCTTGAGAAGATTGGGCTTCGGACAGCTCACAGTAGACGCTTCTTCGCCGTAGCGTTCGTAAAATGCTTCACAGCATTCGTAAAGTCGCTTGATTGCAGTTTGGCACTTGGCCTCGTTGTAGCCATTGCTGGTGAGACAGTCTTGTTGTATTTGGGTCAGTATTTTCTCTCCATCTTGTATTCTTGTATCTGGAGTGAATACTTTGGATTGCACACTGCACGTGTGTCAGATCATAACGGTCACTTGATATCATTGACTTTGGAACTTACTGCACGTGGGTGACAGGCAGGCTTCGCCTCAACATCATCTTTCGGAACCTGTGGTTATCCATTAGCTTTTCCTGAGCGTTTCACTCTGTCGTTTTTCACGAAACGAACCATAGTCGTGTTTAATATAATGATTTGCAGCGTCGTAGATTTGCGGATCGATCTATCACCCAGTCAATATCAAACAGGCATGCAGGCTGTAATGACATAGATGTTTGTGTAGATATCTTGCCTCTTGTGTAATAATGATAAATAAACATTAGTCTGTAATATAAGAAGGTGAGAGATATATATAGATCAGACAAACAAGACTGATGTCATATTGCTAGCTAACTTAAACTACCTGACGTAGCCTACTTATATAAAAGAGAAATATATTTCTTTATAATAAATATAATTACTTTTATAAATACCTAGCTTAATGCTTTATATAAAGTAAGTAAGGAAGAATATATAAGTGTTTAATAGTTAAAGAAGTAAAAATATACTCAATAGCTTCTGGCAACTGATTAATATAATATCTTTGGTATAGGGTAGGCCGAGCACAGAGGGTTTGAGCAAAGCTGTAGATAGCCAATTAAAGATAGTTGTTTATCTCTTGGCTCCACCTACACGCTTGAAGTTGGCGGGGGCTTTTCGCCGGCTTGATGTTCAAATGAGTGCTGAACGAAGCCTGAGCGAGCGGCAACTGACCTCAGCAGCCAAGTCTAAGGCTGATTGCCTTCTATTTTGTCTATCTTAGTAGGCTCATCACCCACCATAGTCTTTTATACCTCCCACCAACAACTGATCTGTTCAATCTTTTTTCCCTCGCACCCACACTCTAGCCGCCCGATCTTCACCTCTTCTTTAACACGCTCGTAGCTCGCCGCTCTACCTCTCGTCAGCCAAACGCGCATAACGCGATCATCACCCCCCACTTGCCAAACTTGCCATCAACGACCATCGTGCTAAGGTAACACTATGATTATTGCGATATCTCGCCACACTTTCACTCCTGCACTTCACCTCGAGCCACGCGCTGACGTTGTCTCGTATTAAGTGCATAGATTCCATCCCAACCAATTCAAAATGTCCAACGAGAACGAAAACGGGACTCCTGGCGAGCAGGCACCCGCCAACTCCGAGCACCTCAACATCAAGGTTACCGACAACAACAACGAGGTCTTCTTCAAGATCAAGCGCACTACAAAGCTTGAGAAGCTTATGGGAGCATTTTGCGAGCGCCAGGGAAAGGCGACCAGCTCCGTGCGATTTCTTTTCGACGGCACGCGAGTCCAACCCACTGATACACCCGATGCGGTACGTTTTCGCTTCCCTATTGTAGGCACGGATGTTTGATATCCATATTTGAATTGCACGCCACTGAAAACTCTACGGGGAGATTACACATGCTGACAAGTTACATCACACAGCTCGAGATGCAGGATGGCGATACCCTTGAGGTCCACCAGGAGCAGGTTGGCGGATATGCACAGTAATAGAGAGGGAGAATTCTGAGGAATAATTACCAGGAGGAAGATCTCAAAAGAGATGAACACACAAGAATGATATTCTTGAACTGGATTTCGATTGACCCTGGTTGTACTTTTGGCTTTGCGTACATCAGACGAGAGGAAGACTGAAACAACAAGTCGACGAATGATTTACGACAGACAAAACACTACCCAATCAACCCAATGCCCCTCTATTCCCGCTGTGACCTGTGTGGTAAACTGTATGGTTTTCTTTTATCTTCCGCAGCAGTGGTACGAAAGACCCGTGTGTTTTGGCCCCGTAGAGAGTACGTCTGCCTAATCTTGTTCTTAAGGTGACGTTTACAGAATAACAATGAGTCAGGATCACACAGATGTGGGGGGAACAACCTGATATGTACGAAGTAGGCGGAACCGAAGTTTGTGTTGACCATTTAGAGTTGAAATCACAGACTCACAGTTCGCGCCGTGTCTATGTTGCCTTATGGCCAAGATGTTCCAATGAGACAATCTACATGACCAAGTTGAGCGCTTCGAGCGCCGCTCCCCTGGAAACACTCAAGAAGACCAAATCAAAAGCACAAAACAAATCATATGCTGACCGGCAAACCTGAAGGGAAACAGACCAACCACGAAAGAAACGCATGCAGAAATCAAAACACGCACGCCGAAATCACACACATCATCATCATTACGCTTTGAGTTCCATAGCTCGGCATCCAGTGCAGAGCACGATAGTGCCTTCAGGCACATGTTTAGTGAAGATTTGGCCATCGTCGAAACCGCCCTGACACTCGGCGCATCGGAAGCAATGCTCATGCCACTCTCCGCCTAGCGCTTGGATATACTGTCCGATGACAGCTGTACGGCATTTCCTGCACTTCGGAGCTCGTCGTTCGGTGCGTTTCGTCTGGCAGTTGATGCACCACGCATAACCATCCTTCTCAATGTGTGTCATGCCATGTTCGAATGGGTCACCACATTCGGCACAAAAGAAGTGACCATAGTGCCAATGAGCCCCAAGAGCTACTATGTGTTCACCGAGAATAGGGGTCTGGCAGTGCTTGCAACGCGGCGCAAACAGCTCATGCCAATCGAGGTGACAAAAGAATCGTAGACGCTCATCTCCGTCTTCGGCCATCGTTTTGCCCTGCTCCTCTTCGAGTATCTCGCCAGCAGCGCGACGTCTGATGCGATCAAGCCGCTCCTGACGAAGATGATCAGGCTCATGGCTAATTTCCATCGCCTGTAGGTTAGTACCACAAGTATAGCAGCTGAAACACTGCGGATGGAATCGTTCATTGCTTCCCGCTAGGGCCACAAAACGCCCTTCAATGGGCATGCCACATTCATGGCAAATCGTGACAGCTCGCCTATTGCTGCCAGGGGCTGGGGACCAATGGCCACGAGGCTTTTGTGCAGAACGGGGTGCTCCCCTGACAATGGGATCAGGAAGCGGACGGGAGGTTGAATTCGGTTTGTCGTCAGGGGCTATGATTGCAGGAATGCTGTCTCCCTTACCCGGAGCCTCATTGATGGCAATATCGGGGACGTTGATCGAAGGTACGGAGCCTCTAGGGCTATGGGATGTCTCGTCTATGCAGATCGACGGGATTTTCGTTCCCGTTGGCGCCCTGGGCATCGGCGAACTTTCCTCCGCCACAACGATACCAGGTACCGCCATGGGTTTCTCCGGCTGGGCGAAGGAGGAGGAGGATCTGCTGGGGGTTGCCGGAAGCGACCGGTCTGGGGTGGTATCAGTGGACTCGTCCGGGGCTTTCCAGTTGGCGTCGAAGCTTACAATGGGCCGTCCCGGACTGTCACTGACGGCTGTGGGTTCCGGGAGGTTTGGGCTGCGATCTTTCAAGCGCATGCTCGTGGCCGCGCGAATGTCCTGACTCCGAACTTCCATGCCGTTCTTTCTCTCTACCTTGTCATCAACAGAGACGGAGCTGTCGTTGGAGCGGTTTCTTGTATAGAGAGGATTGCGAGAGCGTGTGGGAGGATTGCGGTGTATTTCAACTCGCTCAAGGGGCTTGGTCTTTTCTTCTTCTTCCCGTGGAGGTTCGAAGCGGACTCGGTTTGTAGCTGCCTGATCTCGGTTGCCAAGCTTCTCGGGTGATGCACGACCAGAAAAGCTCATGCTATTAGAAGTTGAGACTTCAGGCTCTTCCCAAATCTGATCTTCAGAAAAGGGACGACCAACTTCCCCGCTGATGTTTCTTTTCAGACTTCCCTGGCGTCTCTGCTCTGGAGCCTTGCCTGAACGACCAATACTGCCATATGTCTTGTTTTTGTGATCTGGCTGTATGCTTGGCTGCCTCTGCTCCAAGTTAGGTCTGCTTTCACGTTCGACGCCTTCACCATCCGAAGAACTGCCTGAGCATGATCGCGTACCGCCGACACTAGCAGTACGAGCATGGGCGTAGCTATTCTTTCTGAGATGTGGCTTATAACGGTAGGGTCCGTCGGGACGGGGAGACGGCGTGCCATGTTGATGTTGCCAGACAAGCTCGGCAGCTTCATCGAGAGCAGCATTGTATAGACGAGTATCATCCTCAGGAGTCTCCTGAACAGGCGATTTTGTACTCTTCCTTATGTCCATCTCCTCCATTGCATCGCGCAATGAGCTTGCCTCTTCTTTCTCCATCCATCTTTGACCTCGTTCCATGTATGTGGCTGAGGGAACAACATCCGATGGCCTCAAAGGGTTTGCAGCTGAAGTTGGATAGTAATCTGGACTTTTTCTGCTGATGGTAGAGTATCTAGAGGCAAGACTGCCACCAGTAACGCTAGGACTTTTCGAGTCCTTACGGTCGAGAGCAGGCGGTGCGCTCTCGGCAGGAGAAGCAAGATCAGGCGTGAATCGGCCCGTACTATGGCGGTGCAAACTTGAGCGGCTAGGAACTGGACGGGCACCGGCTGGTTGAGGTCTTGCACCTCCAGGCCGGGCGACTCTGTTTGACCGAAGACCTGCGAGGTAGGAGGCTATTCAGTAGAGGGAGATATTAGTCAAGGACTCTCATGGCCATACTCAATTCCGTGTGTCATACCGAACTGCTCGTCTGTCATGTAAGAAGGTGACGGAGGAGTCACCTTGCGCTTCGGCTCCATCGTCCTTGCTGTGCCTGGCATCTTTGCCAGACGATGAGGGAAAGATAATTTCTGCGGTATGGAGGAAGTATTGTGTCCGGTAGAGAAAGGCTTAAGGAGGTGACCAGGACGGCGAATACGGAGGGTTCTTGGCAAGGTATAGAGAGTGATGAAGGATAGGTAGTAGGTGGGTAGGTGGGTAGGTAGGTAGGTATGAAGTAGTTAGTAGGTAGTCGATACCTCGTTTTAATGGTGGTCGCAAATCGAGCCGGCTGGGGTTGACCAGGCAACGCGGTGTTAGACGGCTGGTTTGGTTGCGTCAGAGCATCACCACCAGCAACAAAAGCCTCTGTCCAAGTATGAGACAGGAATACGAAAACTTACGATCTCGTTGATATTTGTTGTTGGAAGATGTGCAACGTGCAGGGAGTCAGTATATGGCAGTTCCTATAAATTTCTATGGTGGATAATCGTCCACCGCCATCTGCTAGGTTCTTATGATACAGTAGTTGAAGCGGGGACTGGAGGTTAGATGTGTATTGCTCTCATTTGCTCGAATGCTACCTATCTTAGTAAGGAATTAGAGCCCGTATTAACCTCAACATAGGTAGGTACCTATGCAACTATAAGGCAGCGTGTACGAGACTCAACTCCTCGAATTGTCGATTCCCATAACTACATACCTAAGTAGGTAGGTATTTGGGGGAAAACGTATCAACCACCAGTAGCAGGTAGTCTCTTCTTTCAACCCTTGGCTCCCTTATCACCCTCTAGCGTCGCTTTTACAGCAGAAGGAGGTGGAGATTCTGTGAAACCAAGGTTCTTGAATTCGTCCCTGGCCATCAAGTTTCTAAAATACCCGTTGCTATTAGCCCGCTTTGTTCCGAGATATTTGACTACGTGTATGCATCATAAGTCAAAGCATTATAGGCTCACCTGTCCATTCTGCACGATAGATACGCCTTTGCAAGGTCGCGGCATTCTTCGTCATTTAGACCTCGCACCTTTTTCATACATGAAAGGTACTTTGCCATGTAAGTCTTGCACTCGCCTATAGTTACTTTGGTCAAAATTGTTCCATTGAATGTGTTGGCTTGTAGCCCACTCACCATCATGATCTAGAGGGAAGCTTCCACGCTGTGGTCTGCTCAGAAGGACACAACTGTTTAGTGAATTGTTCTTCAGTAGACGATGCCAAACTCACGGTGTTGGCTTTGTAGTTGGCAAAGGACCGGGGCTACCGAAAGTACTCATGATTCCGTGTCTGTACTGGTCTTCTGCCTGATTTCTCGTGCATCTATTGCTATCTTCATGTTTCCTTTAGCACAGTAGAAAAGTCAGGCCTTGTGGCGAACCTCGTTAAAGCACCTAGTGGTGGATAAGAACATCCTGCCAGGTGTGGCTGGTGACGTGGCAAGGGCTCTGCAACGCAACTCCTGAGTAAACCAAGTGGGTGTGAAAGCGGTCAGTAAGGTACCTAGGTAGGTAGGTATAGGGGAGGCACCTCACAGCCGAGAAACCTTCGGTGGAGCCAGTAAAGCGGCCTAGAGCCAGGTATTACAAGGCCTAAAAACGAGGTGCTAGGTATCCATACACACATTACCTTGGCCTGGGGTTGGCTGGACGTTATGCAAATACACGTGAATCACCCCAAAAGTGCTCTCGACTCCACTGTGCAAAGCGAAGCAAAGCAAAGCAAAGCCATCCTCAGCCTGAGCCTGAGCCTCCCAGACCGAACCGCATGAACTCCCGGAACTGACGACGGATTTTGAATTTAGCGACAACGCGCGCATTATTCGAAACATCCTCCGTGTCCTTGTGTTTGTCTTGGGTTTCGTGACGGACGCTTCGCTTGACTCTACTGTCCAGTCCAGTTCAGTCCTGTCCTGTTGTTTCCGTCATCGGTATATCTCAAACTCGCTCGTCACAAAATCGGACTCTTATCATCATGGCTGCTCTTGGCGAGGATCTGCTCACCACGGTCAACAAGCTGCAAGACTTGGTTTTCAATACCATTGGCAGTGACTCTTTGGATCTCCCTCAGATCGTATGCGTTTTTGCTGCCTGAATTGGCTACTTTAGCACTGACTGACCGTTGCTTAGGTTGTTGTCGGTTCCCAATCTGCAGGCAAATCTTCTGTCCTTGAGAATATCGTCGGCCGAGATTTTTTACCGCGCGGGGCCGGCATCTGCACTCGTCGTCCCCTGATCCTTCAACTCATCAACGTTACCGAAGATGAAAACGCTCCCGACCCTGCAAGCGATCCTTATCGATCCCCTGGCGCTGCTCGCCGTTCCGAGTGGGCAGAGTTCCACCACATACCCAACCGCAGGTTCAACGATTTTGGCGATGTCAAGCGCGAGATTGAGAACGAGACATCCCGAGTTGCCGGTAACAACAAGGGCATCAACCGACAACCTATCAACCTCAAGATCTACTCTCCTCATGTTCTTAACTTGACTCTGGTGGATCTGCCGGGACTAACCAAGGTGAGTTTCCTGTTCTTTCCATCTCCATGATCCTCAGCTTCATTTTACCCCTGGACATTACTGACCATAGTCAATCTATAGGTCCCCATTGGCGACCAGCCTACCGATATTGAGAAGCAGACTCGAAACCTCATTTCCGAATATATTGCCAAGCCTAACAGTATTATCCTCGCCGTGTCTCCCGCCAACGTCGACATCGTTAATTCGGAAGCCCTCAAACTCGCCCGCCATGTTGACCCTCTTGGCCGAAGGACTATTGGTGTCTTGACAAAGGTCGACCTCATGGATCATGGCACAAACGCTCTAGATATTCTTTCAGGCCGCGTCTATCCTCTAAAGCTTGGCTTCATCGGCGTTGTCAATCGATCGCAGCAGGATATTCAAGGAAACAAGCCTATGGAGGATGCTCTCCAGGCCGAGGCTGACTTTTTCAAGCACCATCCTGCCTATCGTAACATCTCCATTCGATGTGGCACTCACTACTTGGCCAAGACCCTCAACACTACTCTGATGGGACATATCCGGGAGCGTTTGCCCGACATCAAAGCTCGACTCAACACTCTCATGGGGCAGACGCAACAGGAGTTAGCCAGTTATGGCGACATGCATTTCAGTGGAAAGGAGCACCGTGGTTCTCTCATCCTTCAGCAAATGACGCGCTTCGCCAACTCTTTCATCTCTTCCATTGACGGTACCTCGACCGAGATTTCCACCAAGGAGTTATGTGGCGGCGCTCGTATTTACTACATTTTCAATTCTGTCTTCGGCAGCGCACTTGACACTATCGACCCTACATCCAACCTCTCCGCCCTCGATATCCGGACCGCTATTCGAAACTCCACTGGACCCCGACCCAGTCTTTTTGTGCCGGAAATGGCTTTCGATCTTCTGGTCAAGCCTCAGATCAAGCTTCTGGAAATTCCTAGTCAACGTTGTGTTGAACTTGTGTATGAAGAGCTGATCAAGATTTGCCACACTTGTGGCTCCACCGAGCTTTCACGATACCCCCGACTTCAGGCCAAGCTCATCGAGACGGTCTCAGACTTGCTCCGCGAGCGTCTTGGTCCTGCTTCGTCATATGTCGAATCACTCATCTCTATCCAGCGCGCCTATATCAATACTAATCACCCTAACTTTCTTGGCGCAGCCGCCGCCATGAGTAACGTAGTCAGTGCAAAGCAGGAGCGAGAAAGGAAAAGGCTTATCCAGGAGGAGCGCGAGCGCCGAGAAAAGCGGCGTCTGCAGGAGCTCGAGGCTGACGGTGATGGCCCTGAAAATGAGGACGGTGTCAGTGGCCCTCTTGATAAGCCTGAAAAGACTAAGTCAGGAAGAACCAAGGCTACGAAGCCTCCTCGAAGCATATCACCTTCTCTTTCAGTCCGCGAGAACGGAACGTCCAGCCTTGCTGCCACCATGAACGCGACGCATTTAAACGGCACTCTTCGTTCAGCTTCACCTGCTCGACTCAACCAACAGGGACTCGGAGGTGCCCGAGATTCCTTCTTGAACTACTTTTTTGGCAAGGATGGCCAGACTATCGGCGGTCCCCTTCCAAGCCCTGGCGCCATGCCCAATATGCCCAACGGACGACATATCAGCCAAAACTCGGAGACTAGCTTCCCTATTGTGCGTCGGGAGAGGGAGTTTGCCCGGCCATCTACAGCGACAACAATGGCCCCCGAGGATGACTTGTACGATAGAACAGGGAAGAACTACGGCTTGGCATCCCAGATGGTAAGTTCCGAGGATCTACAGGTGCCCGGTCTCCTCTTCTCACACGAAACTAACCCCCACCACCAGGGTGAATCCGCGGAGCCAGCTATGACAGATCGCGAGGCCATGGAGACGGAGCTTATCCGAGCCCTTATCTCTTCCTACTTCAACATTGTTCGCGAGTCCATCGCCGACCAGGTCCCTAAAGCTGTCATGCACCTCCTCGTTAATCACTGTAAGGACGTCGTTCAGAACCGCCTCGTTAGCGAGCTCTACAAGGAGTCTCTCTTCGAGGAGCTCCTTTATGAGGATGATGGCGTCAAGAAGGAGCGTGAGAAGTGCGAGCGCCTGCTTCAAACCTACCGTGAGGCTGCTAAGATCATTGGTGAGGTGTTGTAGATTCAACACTGATCTTGATCTATGGGTTTCTGGCAAATGGTCACCATGCGACAGCGTCCCGTTCAACCTGAGAATAATTAAGAAAAGAAAGACCAGTAACAGCCATATACGGATGGAAAGATAGACTCGAAGGAGAAAGGCGGGACATAACTTGGAAACACCAAACAACGTCGATCGCTTTTGGTCAAGGGCTCGGGCTCTTGAACCAATCTTGACTGCTCTGCTCCTCAATGGAGCAGAGCAGGAGAAGCAGAATAAAGGAGAGAATCGAGAGAATCGAGAGAAGAAAAGAGTGTTGTAATTTTGTTCTTTTCGTTATCATCGTTTTCCCTCTTATCTTGTACATCACCAACTGGCATTGGAATTGCGGCCAGACTCAGCTTCAGTTTCTGATAATGGCTCAACGAGAAGACGGGATCGGAATACAAGAGGAGGGCTTGTATGTATGGATGTATGTATGTAAAAAAAGCAAACCAAACTCGGCTCGTCGTCCTAGCAGAATACACACAATGTACTACTTTATGATATCTGTCAAATGATGAATACGTTCTCTGAACTGCTTTAGGAGAGGACCGTCTTAAAATGAAGAATGGCATTACACACGATGTTACAGTTTGCATATATAGATATGTATACACGAATCGGCACTAATTAGTTGGTGTCATGTTTCCTCCGCTACGACAAAGAAGTACTTCGAGTAAATCATCGCTGGTTCCCATGGTCCGCTGGCGTCACCCTTGCTGCACAAGAAGGATGTCGTGGGATGTCGTTATAATTAGTCATAAGAGTAGGTCGACTTGGAACACGAGGATCTGCTTCATGACTCGAGTTGTAACCCGAAGGGCCTTGAGCTATTCCTCGTTGAGGATATATGCTCTCTTCTGGTCGTGGTTGTCTGGTCTCGTAGGCATGGTATGGCCTACCAGCCTGTCGTACAGGGCGCCTGATGAAGTAGTCGCCGTCCGGATGATGAGTCTCAACGACTTTGTATGCATCTGAAAGGTCTAGCGGAGGACGAGTACTGTGACGATTATAATAGAAATGATCGGAACCAGCTGGAGAATCGAAGCGGCGTTCTTGTGGTGCATACCGAGACCAAGGGCTAGGTTCTCTACAATAGAATTGGCTGTGGTTGTTGCTAAACCACGAGGATGAAGGTTGGGCATACTCGCCAAACCTTTCAGCAATGACCGGGCCATATCTGGATTCCTGTGGTAGGGTATTTCGGGCTCTGAGACCTCTTCCAATCTCCCGTCCGGATTCATCAACGTAGATGACCTCTTCCTCTTCAACCATGTGGTGATTGTGGGCCACATGAGGTTCTTCACGCCCTCTTCTTTCGACCTCCGCGTAGCTAGGTGCTGCAGCGGCCGAGGTGGCCACCAACGGATGCTGGCCTTGAGGCCGATCGCCAACAGATGCGCTTCTGTTACGTGAACTAGATGGTTTTGGACCCGAATAACGCTGTTCTCGGACGTCACGGCAATCAGACGATTCCTCCTCGCGCCAATGAGCCTTGTTCTGAGGCTCTGTGGGATATGAAACCTGATAGGTGGCGACTTCCTGCTCAGTCTCGACTCCGACGTCAACCTTTTTTCTTCGGCTATGTGGATCTTGAAACTTTTCCAAGTACGGTGGCGAGTAGTTGTCAAATGATGAAGCACTATCAGCGACTTGAGATGCAGGTTTCCCCTGTGTCCTAGCCCCGACCATCTTTCGACCATAAACCTCGCTTGCTGGACGAAGATGTGGTATGTCTGGCTCAGACTCGATATGTGAAGAAAAGCATAGATCTAGTCGACTTGATGCCAAGGACTGACTTCCCAGATCCGCATGACCTAGCTGCTGCGTTTGCTCTCCCACATGCTCGATATCACTTTGCTGGTGTTCCTCCCTTGACCGATTGTTTGGCACAGCAGTGAAGATCTGAGCTGGCGTCTGCACTGACACTTGCGGAGGTAAGGTGTTATTGGGGTTTGTTTGCATAGGCTTCGAAGCATATTTGTCTACGAAGGCTTGTTCGAATGCCCAGGGAAGAGCCTCCTTAACAAGAGTGTACAAGACAGAGTCCCCCCGAGTCTTCATTTCCAGTCCAGCCATTCGCTCGTTTTCAGGCATTTTTATCATTTCTGTTCGCCAATCCATATGTGCTCGTCCTTGACTCCGGGGCTTTTCGACATGCTCTGATTCAAAATGTCTGGCGAGTTGAGGTACGTGAAAGATGTTGTCGTCGTTGCACACCTTGCAAGAAACTCCATTGAGAGCCCTCAGACTGCGTAATTTCTTATTTTTCGATGTGGCTTCAATGAACAGCGACAATGGTAGGGTCTCGCTCTCCGACTCCTCGAACAGTTTGTTAGCATGGTAAATGGCGACGTAAGCCCTAACTGCAGGTGGGATCTTCTTATGATGCCCAACCCTTGACCAGACAGATTGAGTGCCCCTGACGAAATTTTCATGTTGATGCTGACGTGTGCTGTTGACTGAGGCGATGCTATTGCCGTCGTAGTAGTTCGGATAAGATCCGCCCTCGGAAGGGTTAGGAACTGGAACTGGAGGTCTTGTGTAGCTGCTCAATTGTCTTTGAGAGCTATGTCTCATTCCCGAAGAAAACAGTCCTGGGTATGAAGAATATGTTGCAGGGTCGTAATATGTTGCTGTTGAGTAAGATGGGCCATAGGTAGGGGCTGAATTTTGCCCATATGCAGATATAGGAGGAATTGGAGGCCTGGAACTGTAGAACGAGAATGGCGGTGCTTCTGTGCCGTAAGCAGGCAGATGATATCCTGCTGGTGTACCAGGCTGAAAGACAGAATGGCTTGGTTGAATTGGAGCGTTTGACGCGAGCGCGTTGCGTGGCTCGTTATCATGATAGGCTTTCTCTTTGGCGAGAGGGTCAGGACTAAAAGGAGGCACTTCTGGCCACTCCGCTCTCCAATGCACGACAACATTCCCCAGACTGAGAGCTACCGTGTGCTTGGCTGCATAGTGTTGAAGTACACCCTCGAATCCAAAGAACTTCAAGACTCCATTCACACCGAGGCAGCTGTTACAAAGAAACAACTCCTTGCGCATGGGTTCGGTACGGGGTTTGATTTTGACATCAAAGACCCACTTCATGTTCTCCAGTGTCAACCGTTGAGTCCAAGGCCCCTCTGGGGGCTCGACAATCGGCTTCTTCCCTGCCGCGATTGTGGCAGCAGTGTCCTTTGCAACTTCGGCATAGAACCTTTTACGAACGTAAAGCAGCACATCTGCGGCATATTGCGGACAATTCCTTCTCTTAACCTTGGCACCGTTGTTCCATCCTTCGATGATTTCGTCTGCATATTCCGATATGCGCGCTCGAACAGGCCCCTGGATATCATCCCATTCCTGGTCTGTAACTTCTCTTGGTTCCCGAAAGGGCTTTTTATCAGCCTCCATTGTCGGAAGCTTGTCTTCAAGTGTTTGGGGGTTGCTATAACCTTGCTTCTCTCGCAGCTCCGCTTCTACCCTCTGAGCGAGAAGACGGGGCTTCAAGAGTTCCCATGCGTGATCATCAAGCGGCGTGATGAGTTGAAGTGCTGCCTGAAAGGATGGAATATGAGCCAGAACATTTGCAGTCAACGGAGGATCAAGTAGCAAGGCTCGATTCTCAATGTCGGTCCGTCTTTGAGCCTTAAGGTGAGCTGCCTCCTCCTTCGTTCGTTTTTGCTGAACTGGAGTGCGTAAGGGGTGGGGATTAGCCTCCAATGGCACTCTTGATCCACGGCCGTCATCTGCAACAGGTGCTTGGCGGTGGTGCTCGCCGATCGATTGAGCAGGATCTGGTGAGGTCTTACCAAGGGGAGCTGAAAGAGCCAGAGGCGTAAATGAGAATGGAGCTTCTGCCTTGGCAGCAGTCTTCAGTGCTTGAAACTGAGCCATCCCACCTGTACTAGCCCATTTTTCCCAACGAGAGGCATCAGCTAGAGCCTGCTTTCCTCGGATCTCTAGACCTTTTATCCACTCTTCGGCAGCAGCAGACCCAAGTGCCTTGACGTTTTGGAATTCCAGCTTGATTTGTTCAACATGCTCCGACCAGAAGAGCTTGCTAACCTGGATGTGTGGCTGCACAGTCCCCGCCTGTATGGCACGGGGATGTATAACATGCATATCGGCATCCACAAGCACTAGAGGAAGAGCTGGGAGCAGAACAGATGGAAATGACGAAGACAAGAGAAGATCTAGTTCCTATTGCTGACGTTAGAATTGCATCCGGGGAGAATCCTGAAACGCCTACCTTGATGCCCTTTTTCTTCAGGCAATTTCCGCAAGCGAGGACACAAAAGGGGAAAATGGGACAGACGTCACTTGGACCTGGACCACGACACCAAGCTTCGTTGTTCGAAGATGGTGGCTTTTTCTGGCTCTGAAAACCACAGAGCTGGCAAGACACAGAACAAACGAGACGCCACATCTGAATCTCCAATTTCCCTTTTAGGGGTGCAGGCATACGTGGCCAAAACAGCCTTCTTGAAGCTTGCCAGATTGCATCTGGCTTCAGTAAAGGAAAGGTTGACGGTATATCATTATAACATACTGGGGAATGAGTGGAAAGGGGGCTAAGTAAGGCATGAAATAGTTTGTTGACAGTCAACAAACGACCCAGGTCTCTGGGTGGTACTAGAGTAAAGATATGTTGCCATATCTGTTCCGGAAGCTGCTTGGCTCGATCCTTCGCAAGACTTTGAGCCGCCAGCCCTGGAAGACGGGCTTTATCAAGCTTAACTTTCTTAGTTTGCTGGACAGCCTTGCAATCTATTGACTGTCGCCTTTTTTTCGAGGGCTGGGAGATGGCATCGAGCAGAGCCGCTGCAGGGTCATGGCTAGAGGCTTCTGAGGGTTCATAACTCAGATCATCAGCCATGTGCACGTCGGCCTCGCTTCTACCACTGGTTGTCGATGCTCCCGGGGTGACGGCTAAACCAGAGGTGCCGGCCCTTTGACTCTCCGGGATAACCATCCCTCATCTGACGCGCTACTGAATAGCAGTGACGAGTAAGAACGGTAGACACAAAAAGAAACAACTTGCTTGACGGATCATCAAGCATGTAGAGTGAAAGGGATGATCAACACTTGTCTGCGTGAATGGTAAGGAGCAATGGGGAAAGATATCGCGTTGCAATTCAAGTGTAAGCAATATGAGTCGGGCGCTCAAAAGTCGCCTGCGCTTCTGTACAAACCAAACGTTGCTCGTAATGCGGCGTGAAGTAAATTCAGAGTTGTCTTGATTTGGGAAACGATATCTCAGAGCAAGGACAAAAGACCTGAACTTATCGATAACAGTGTCGGCCAGGGGGGCCCAATTTTTATTATTAAGCATGGGAATAGTTGGTGATGAATAACATCCAATACGTATGTGAGACTTCAAAAAATCCAATTTGGGGCCCCATCACTGGGGCATTTGAATAAGTAGAGTTGCTTGGTTTTACATTTCCTTTGTTGCCCATCATAACATCACAGCACAAGATCAACAACTATTTTATCTGATATTGCTGCCGCATCATTGCATATTCGCATCTCTGCCACCTCCTTGTCCTGGCGCTTGTGACGTACTTCCACTGCGACCACCCAACGAAGAGGTCTGTCCCGGGGATGACTGGTCTCCTCCAGCGCCGTATATCTGAAAACTCTGGTCTGCTCCCCAGTTGGCCATCTGCGTATAGTTTTCAAAGGCATTCTATTCCAAGTTAGAAACGGGTACAAGTGATCTCTTGACGGAAACGCTTCTTACCCAGTCAAAGTTCGCGCCCATATCCATCCCAGCGTTAGTGTTGGCTCCCAGGTTACTGAACATGGAGGAGAAAGGGGAAGCTGGACCAGCCCCAGCGAATCCATCGGTCTGAAAATCAAGTCCTTCAGACCCAGGCATGCCGAAGTCCATGCCCATAAAGGCGGCCGGGTTAGGCGTCGAAAAAGGGTTGGCCGTCGCATTGAAATCGGGCAAGCTGTTTGGTGAGACAAAACCCGGCGCCATAGCCGGCGAAACATCAGTCCCAACACCTTGCGTCAAACCTGGCATTGGCGATGGAGCGCCCGGCATTTCTGGACCGATCGAGGCAGGGTCCTTGATCTTATCTAGCATGATATCGATGACCTTGGCCGCCTTGAATGCTTCCATCGAGGTATCTGCAAGTGTGTTCCAAATTTCTCTCGCTGTTTCTAAGCTGCCAATCATTTTGGATCGTTGGTCATCGTTCCAAGTTGAAGCACCCTCATCGTCTTGGGGAACTGAAGACTGCGCGGCAATGTTGTCAAAGTGGAGATCAAGAATGACCAGCATTGCAGGCAACGTAAAGTCTTTGGTAGCGATGGACTTCACAAACCAACTGACTGAGCGCAGCCTCCCGTTGGATTGTGATTCTCGGTACAATACTGCCAGATGATCGAGCGCGGTCAATGATGCTTCAATTGCAGCCCTCCGAGAGTGTGCATATCTTGCGCTCTGCCTCGCCCTGGGAAGGTATTTTCGGTGAAGCAAGCATAGAATCTTCTGGTATAAGATATCGACATTGAACCTGGCAATGATCAGAGTCACTGGATCATGGGACCCTTCTAATGTCGTTAACTTCAAATGCGGCGGTAATTCTTGCATGATCTGTCGTAGTTTGGCATCGAATCGAATAATCTCGTCGTAAGGCACATGCTTGCCAACTTGCCCTGTAGCCTGGAGGATGTTTCCCAACTCAAAGCATAATCTTGACTTGGCAATCATGTAGGCGATGGGAGTAGCGACAGTGGATGGCCGAGAAGGGGGCAGCTCCTTGACGCTGGGATTGAACTCATCGTCAAATATGTTATTGGGCAGCTGGGTGTCGCAATCATTTTCGTAGATCATGCTGGGCAGAGAAACCTGATGGGAGAAGATAACGTCCGACATTCGTACGAGAGCCCACGTCCGCCGTCTCATTTCCTAACCATGATCAGCAAACCGATATTAGCAGCAGACCAGCGTGCAGCTTACCGCTTGAAATGGTGTAATTGACGGAAACCATTTAGCGTCTCGGTGGTAACCCATTCGATACGCGATTCGAACAATTAAAGACACGATTAACCACAATCCTAGATCAGCATCCCATCGAGACGAATATTCTCCAAACACATAGAGTATCATAGTCTCAACCGTATATTCGTTAGGTTTTGTATAGTCTGATTTGATCAGACATTGCACCGTGCGTAAACGGTATTCGTTTGCAAGCTCAAGGGTTCGCCCTCTCCACTCAGGAGGTTCGTCGCCCACTTTATGGTAACTCAGCATTGCTAGGCAGAGAACCGAGTAGAGCATACCAAGCCACATGATGGGTGTCTTGTTGGGATCTTGCCAGTGATCTTTCAGCTGCTGTTGAAATGTTGGTCCATGAATGATATTGACAGCATTATCCATGGAGTTGAAATATCGACTGCAGAGCGTCAGAACAGCAGATTTGGGGGGAAGCTCTGCTCTTATTTCAATTTCGGAAGCTGGGAGTGCTCCTAGCAGGAGTGTCGGCCCCTCTCTTGCAGCCATGGGCTTTGAAGATTTGACTCGCTCATAACTTGTTTCTAACTCCTTTTTGTGAGACGTGAAGTAGTTTTTCACCTCAGATATATCGGCAAGGAGGGTATGCCAATGTTCCTGGCCAACATACAGCGACTTGCCTTTGTCCGTGTCCACTTTAAGAAAACCCAAAGACGTGGCCAGTCCCTCCTCTTCGTCACTGTTTTCCTCCTCATCATATGCCATTGCATTGTCGTCTCCTTTTCCAGCCTTGGCGGAAGATCCGCTGTCCGTGGTGGATTGTGTTGTCGCTGCTCCAGCGGCTGCGGCGGATGCAGCATCTACATTAGCACCTCCGTGCATAAGGGATAAAACTAAGCCTTCTAAACGGTCAATACGATTCTGCATGTCATCAGGACTCGAGTCTCCTTGACTTTGATTCTTCTTGCGTGTAACCGGCGTGGCATAAGAGCATGAGGTGGTCCCCATACCCTCGCGCTTCGTACAGTTGCTGCAAGGATGACTTCTGTCACATTTTCTGATGAATATTAGTAAGGATGAGGAGTTGAGAGGTGTCATTTGAACTCACAGCCTACGGACAATGTTAGTAAATATTGATGCACTACTCTAGGGGTAACCCACTTGCGCGTCCTACAAGGATAGCAGCTTAGAGGCACGCGATTCCTCTTCCTCACAACACGGAACTGTTCCTCGGGAGACCGGGCTCCCTGAGATGAGTTTGTCGAAGGAGGAGTTGGGGTCATTGTGACAAGGGGAACGAAACGACCAGGGCGTTTCAACAGATAAGATGAGGGATCCGACTCCAATATTGGCAGAGAATGATGAGACAAGAGTTGGTCAGCGCCAGTGGAAACCCCATCAATATATTGAATCTTGAGCGGTTGGCGGAACCCAAAAGAGCTTGGTATGAATAATACAACGCCCTTCCAGAATACTGCCGCAGCTACGGCAACCTGGTCAACAGAAGACTTGTCTGACCAACCGGGAAATGCGGCTCCACGAGTCAACCCGCCTGGTAAGCCAATGTCGATGTCGCAACACAGTTGCGCAGGATAATGGAACCGTTTCGCCCCAAACGGTCTCCAGGAACCCAGAGGTGGCGTTGATCAAGTCCGACACGTCCGTACGCCCTTAGGCCTGCAGCAACAGGGAATTGGCACGGTACAGCACAGCCTCCCACTTGAGGCACCTCACAGTGTGATACAGCGAAGGTGTAAGGGCGGATGGTGATAATCCGTGGAGATATCGGGGGCCGGGGGCACCCAAAGTTGCGGTCTGCTGGGAATGTGTGATGGGGGATTCAATTCTAGGCAATAGGACTTTGCAGGACACTCGCTATAGTTGATGACCGAGATCGTAGCGATAGCGAGGTCGCGAACCCGTTAGGGAGGAAGAAGACGGCAACGGGAGGCGAAGATAGCGAGGAGACGGCCCAAAGAAGACGCCTGAGCTCAAGCTACCTATAGAGCGTCACAGATGGACTCCAAGTCCAGACAGAAAGAAATGGATGGAGAATGGCGGGTTGCTTTTTTGTCGAGTCGATAATTACTCAGTAAGCTCAGTCAGCAGAGGAACAGAGGCTGTGAGGGCAGATGACGCAGGATATCCAAACAGAGGATCAATGAGGTGATAGAAGCTGGTCATGGAGGTGTCGGTACCTCCGGTGCCTTGCTTCAAATAAGGAGAGAAACGAGAAGATCTCTGAAAAGGGTGGAAAGGAAAAGGGCTAGATCTGAATCCAATTTTTGGTCTCCAGAATGTCCCGTCAGCATCAGCCTTATTAAACCGCCCGGCAGCCTGGGAATGAGGAACAAACGAACTAGTTAGGCACCGCAGTCAGGTCAAGGAACGCGTGTGCGTCCCAGCATCGATGCAAGATGCAGCAAGATGGTGGGGTTGTTTTACATTCACAGAGACAAGGGTACCTTATTTAATTCTTGTCTTCGTTCTTCGATTTAAAAGAGCCTTTGTGATACCTCTGCTGTCTTGCACGTGTCTCTCCTGTGCTTAGTTAGGAGGCATCCATCCCAGTGCTCTCTGTAACTGGCATAGTTTACCTGGGCCTCTTTTTTTTTTAATTAGCTTCTTCAACATGATGGCTGAAGTCAGCCAGGTGCAGTAACATCACTTGACGGGCGTTACGGCAACTATCTCAATCGAACGAACCACAATCTGCTAAAAAGAGCCAAAGTCGCAAATCTTACTTGCCTAGCCTGTGAGTCATTCTCGTTCATCGGATTCGACATCTGCTGTATGGATACTCGGATTTCGGGGCCGGCCCATGTTTATCACCGATATTTGTCATTAAACTCCATCACACCACACTCTTCGCTCTGTATCTGAGGCCTTCTATTGCCAGTTCCCTGACTTACACTACTATTATGGTCAGGCACTATGTCGATCCGATCATTGTAGTACGTTCCAAAACGAACATTGGAAACCAGCGGTAACTCCACCGTCTTTGGCAAATTACAATGTAGCTGCAGCTATGATCGCCTAGAAATGGTGATGTTTACATTTCTCTCCATGCTCGACTACTTCTGTAGATATTGTGAACCAATTCCTGTCCAGCCCCCAGAAGAAGCTGATATGACCGATTAGAAGTATCCGGGAGCCCAACACATGATGTAGCCTAACCATTCAGTGAGCCATTAGTTAGTTGCATGATAGGTTTGACAAGAGCTCAGCAGCGCTGTTTTATATGGCCACAATATTCTTGGATAAAGGCCCTGCGCCTTAGCTTTCAACCCCCTGGGACTTCAGGACTTCTTGGCCTCGTTTCCTCTCCTCAATTTGCCACTCGATAAACCACTAGCCAGAACGCTTGATATTGCATTGCCAGATACTATCACTCAAACGGTTGGGTTTTACCAGGGTCAGCCAGGCAGTGCAATATTCAGCAGTACGCGACGGGCTATTGTCACGCCTTCTTAACATAAATGCGTCATGAGTTTCGTAACGTATGTATTCTCGCATCAAACAGCTGTGGGAGCGCTGACGCTGTACTTGGTGAGGAACTCGGCGTCGTTGGCCATTTCCTCCTTGACCTATGGATTTGTCAGCCTTAGTCAAAGCGAAATTGTGAATGCGGCTTACAATATCCAGTCCACCAACGAGCTCGCCATCAATCCAGAGCTGCGGGTATGTTGGCCAGTCCGCAAATTCCTTGAGCCCCTGTCTAACCTCGTCGTCGGCGAGGATGTTGAAGAAACCATACTTGACCGAATTGTCGCGCAGTAGCCCAACCAATTGTCTGGAGAAGCCGCATTGAGGAGAGCTAGGTGTACCTTTCATAAAGAGCATGACGGGTGCAGCCTTCACGAGGTCCCCAAGACGCTTGAAAAGTTCCTCCTTCTTCTTCTCGGGATCTTGCTCCTCGGCATCGGCACCGTTGGTATCGATACCATTCTGTGCGCTTTCCTCTGAATTCTGACCAGATTGCTTTGCCTGTGTCTCGATCGCCGTGCGCACCTTTACGGCACTACTGCCACTCACAGTCTCGACAACTTGGCCGTTCCTCAAAAGAACAAGGAAAGGGACTGCCGTGACATCGTACGTCTCGCTGAGGTCGCTCAGATCCTCTGCGTTGATGGAAACCCACTTTGTGGAAGGAGGTTCGGTGACTGGATATTCGGAAGCGAGGGTCGACAAGACGGTGGCCATTTGCGCGCATGGTGCGGCCCACGGCGCATGAAACGATGCGACGACGAGGGTAGTGGAAGGGACAGAACTGAGCAGCTGCTCCCACTCGGGGATACTGTTAATTTCCGTGATGGTAGACATTTTGGTGGCGGTGAGATGGATGCGTCAGGGTTTCGATCTGATAAGAGACGGGAGAGAAAGAGCAGTCGGAGTCGAATTGGTTTAAGGCAAGGCCGGTCAATCACAACTCATTAATCTCCACGGAATTTGAGGGGCAAAGGTTGACTTTGGCGGGGTACAAATACTGGTATCCAATGACAGGCAAGGCGAAAGAAAAAGAGGGAAAGACAATTATCTGTGTAAGAGCACGGCACTTGGGGTTTGTGAATACGACTCTACGTCGACTAATAACTCCATTCAAGCTTAGAGCACATTAAATTCGTGCTTGTGTATAAATTACTTGCACTTCTTACCTATCATCAAAGAAAGTCAGGGTCTATCAGTCTTCACAAACCCAGAGAGGCAGTGGTATGGAGAGAGGAGGGGCAACAGATTGTGCAAATAGAAAATTGTCCTTGCGTCATTTCCTTTGGTTTGTATTTCATGTCTAGTGGATAGGTACCTAGGTACCTAATATCAGCCCTCCGCTGCCGGAGCTGTGTACTTGCATATAGCCTTGGTAGATGCATTCTGATATGTAATGCTGACATTGACAGCTCCCATCACTATAACCAGTTAACAGCTCATCAAAGCAGCACAACGGAGCACACAGCGCATACAGGCATGAACAGCGCAGCTTGACCCCGCTCAGCCCACTGTAGACCAGCTAGACCGCCCCAAGGTTGGGCATTCTTCAAGCTACCAGCATTACCTCAGGTCACTGAGGCAGACGACGCAAGAAGCTACATCATCAGCCACACTTCAAGAAACCCACTTCTGGGACCTTTTACTGTAGGTATGGTTTGCTAAGGTAGGTTTCCACCGTCCCCCGATCTACGTTCAGTTTCCATCCTCAACTTCTCCCAAAGACAGCTCGCACAGCAATATCTCGACGCTGTGCGATACCAGACGTACTGGAGAATTGATCACGATAGTCCTTCTCCTGACTACGCCTCCGGAACTTTTATCTTGTCTCTCCGTGTGGAGCTGCCGCCGCCGCAGCAACGGTGTCAACGTCACCCCCAACCTCCGTCATCCTAGCTCGTCAGCTTCAGCTTCAGCTTCAAGTCTGCCTCACTCCGTTTTAACATCTCAAGAAACCCCAAGATGGCATCTCTCAATACCTCGATAAATGGCCCGTCCATCAAGAGTAGTTACAGCAGTGTTGTTAACGGTGCCCCGCCATCTTCCGAGTCTCCCACTCATGCTCACTGGGCCCTTTTCTCGGTCCAGGCCCCTCTTTTGAATGCCTTCCAAGACAGCGGAGCCAAGGAGAGTATTCTCAAGGTCCAAGGAACAGGCGGTATGTTACACACAAGGGGATGTCTATCCTCCCGTCAGCCCGCTAATATTTATACAGAAAGCGACCTCGCCGATCTGATTGAGGACTTTAGTGAAGGGCGCATTCAATTCGCATTTGCCAAGGTCAAGGATCCCAACAGTGGCCTTCCTAAAAACATATTGATCGCATGGTGTGGAGGAGGTGTTCCCGAGCGAACCAAGGGCTACTTCACCAGCCATCTTGCTGCGGTTTCCAAGATCCTCCACGGATACCATGTTCAGATTACCGCTCGCTCCGAGAGCGACCTCGAAATTGATGCCATCATGCAAAAGGTGGCCGATGCTTCCGGCGCCAAGTACTCAGCGGGAAGCTCAGACAGTCCTCGTTCTGCTGCACCTCCTCCCGTCAAGACCAAACCTGTCTTCACCCCGACAGCCTCCAGCCGTGCCAACCCGCTCGTCGCTGCTCGATCCAAAAGAGAGGAAAATGTCGACGAGGATGGGTGGGGCGCTGATGCTCCTCCTGTCACAAGGACTCAGATTGAAAAGGTCGAATCTGCTTACAAGCCTACAAAGGTCAACATTGCTGATCTCAGCAAGCAACCCACAGCAACTACCAGCGGAAGCGCCCCCGTCAAGCGCGATGACACACCAGGCGACGTGGTGAAGGGCGGCTATCAACCCATTGGCAAGGTCGATATTGCAGCTATTCGTGCTCAGGCTCAAAAGGACCAGGATGACAGGCCAACTCCTGTGAAGGGATCCTACGAACCCGTTGGAAAGGTTGACATTGCTGCAATCCGGGCACAGGCTAAGCCTGCTGCCTCGGAGAAACCTCAGGAGGACGAGACCCGACCTGTATCGGAACGCATGTCTGCTTTCTCTCAGCCAGCTCAGTCGGAACGTCTAACATCCCTTCCTAAACCCAAGGTCGCCAACAAGTTTGGTGGCGCTGGAGGCTTTTCGGGCACAAAGGCTCCCACACCCGGTGGCTTAGGCTTTGGAGCTCCCGCTCCTGCAAAGTCTGCCCCTGTTGGTGCTGCAAGCCGTACATTTGCTGATCAAGGCGGAAAGACTCCTGCCCAACTATGGGCCGAGCGTAAGGCCAGGGAGAGGGGGGAGGACACCTCCAGTACTCCCGCCCCTGCTCCTGTCGGTAGCACTTCCCCTGTTCAACCACAGAAGAGCGGAAGCGAGTGGAAGAGTGGCTACTCTGGTAAGAGCTGGGCTCCAGTGCAGACTGGCGATTATGGTCGCGGCGTGCCTGGACAGATCAGCCAGGAAAACACAGGCGAGCATCCTGAGGATACACCAGCATCGCCGTCAGGTGTGTCAGCTTTGCGAGACCGGTTCAAGGACACTGCCCCTATCAGCGCGGGGGCTCCTCCCCCTCCCGCTGCTCGCCCTGCAGAGGACGACACTACACCGCCGCCAGTTCCTAGCGGTCGACCTTCAGGAGGCTTTGCCCTTCCCGGACTCCCTAGCCGACCAGCACCTGCAGATGAGCAGGATGACGAACGGGAAGACCCCTCCGCTTACCAAACAGCTACAGAGCGCGAGAGATCCCCCTCACCCCCTCGTGTTGCTGTTCCAGTCAGCCGTGGACCTGTGCCAGAAGTCGGCACCCCGCCTGAGCAGCGAGCTCCACCTCCTATTACTCCTAACCAGATTGATGTACCCAAAGAGTCTGATCTCGCAGACGATAAGGAGGTTTCGTCCACCGCCCGTTTTGCTGGCGGTGCGGCTGCAGGTATTGCCGTAGGCGCTGCTGTTGGGGTCGGAGCTGCTGCTGCTGCCGGCGCTCTCGAGCGTGAGCCCAGTCCGGAGCCAGAGCCTCATCACGCTCCTGAACCCGCAGCTCAGCCAACTCAAGAGTCTCAGGGTGGTCATCGTGCCGTGATCCAATACGACTACGAGAAGGCTGAAGACAACGAAATCGACCTGGTCGAGGGCGACATTGTTACTAACATTGACATGGTGGATGAAGATTGGTGGATGGGCACTAACTCACGAGGTGAGAGCGGCTTATTCCCCAGCAACTACGTTGAACTGCTGGGGGATGATGATTCAGAGCAACCAACTGGTGCGGCGGCACCTCCTCCACCACCACCTGTTGCTGAGCCCGAGCCCGAGCCCGAGCCCGAGACTCAAGCTCAGGCTGCTGCTACTGCTGAGGCCAGCCACACGGCCGTTGCCCTCTACGATTACGAGGCGGCAGAAGATAACGGTAAGATACACACAGCGCTTAAGAAGCAGTCACTAAATCAGTTTGCAGAATTGAGCTTCCCTGAAGATGCCACAATTACCAATTTGGAGTTCCCTGACGAAGATTGGTGGTTCGGTCACTATGCTGGACAAGCCGGTCTATTCCCTGCCAATTACGTGCAACTCAACCAGTGATCTTTGGGGTGCTCTGTTATCAATGATGAGGCGAAAGGAATGCATTAAGCCTATGGGGTGGGGAAAAACTTGACGGTAGATGAAAGAACGCTGTCAGCTCGCGTACAGTTCCAAAACAAACGATTCAATATCCTATATTCATATCAATTGGTTATATCAAGAGTATGTGACACAATAGCTATTGCCGTGTACGTGGAAACGATGAGCTACGCCCATCAATCATTCAGTATGCTCGAACATTGAACCGCAGTCGGCTGTTCAGTCCGGTTACGGGATTTACTTGTCCTGATAATGCCACGTCCACCATCTCTGTGAGAGAACGTAATATATTAGTTAATCATGAGACAGGGTATTTGTAACTTCTTTTACAAATTATTTGAAGAGGTCTCATGATTCTCGGAATTTTCATAGGGCCATGCGCGGGCTGGTTATATGTATCGTGGGGATTGTATCTCGGTACTTTGTTTTGCTGAGGCAGGCCGCTTAAAAGAGGCAGTCGCAACAATCGATGCTATCAAGTGACACACATTAGTAGGTATTCACTTCGATCTGGTTTTGTGCTTGCGCGGGGCTCAATTGGTGCTAGTCAAGAACTTCCAATGGTTGATGATGCCGATGACTACACAAGAGTTGACTTACCAGCACTCGCATCCCTCTTCAGCAACACAGCAACAGCACATGGCCGCCAGACAAGCTGTCAAGCAGCCGCCACCGCCGCGCTTGCCGCCACTTTGTTGAGGGGGCGCTTGTTGATATTGCATGGGGGGTTGGCCTTGGGGTGGACCGTAATATTGCCCTTGAGGGGGACCATACTGTCCCTGAGGAGGGCCATACTGGCCTTGGGGAGGGCCGTATTGACCTTGGGGGGGACCGTAAGACTACGAAACGAGATAATTAGCAATCGCGATCGAGTTTTTTTTTTCTTTTCTTTTTTTCTTTAATCGCTTGGGTAACGAACAGGCTGGGGATGCTGAGGGTAACCGCCGCCACCGCCGCCGCCGTAGTAATCTTGAGCAGACATGGTACAGATAAACGAAGCTGTTGTTGCTGCGATTGAGGTGCGTACGATAGACCGCCTATAGGTGATGTATGAAGAAGACGCGCAGGTGAGGTGCCGGCTTGGAAAGAAATGATGGAGACGAGAGGGTGGAGGAGAAGAAGTACTAAACTATTGCGCCCGCCATGTGAGAAGTATCGAGGTCACGGGCAGCAGATCTTCAATTGGCCATCGGCAACAGCCATCTATCATGTAAAACATTTGAGACTGGAACAATGACAGAGCTTGATCATCCAATTAGAGGCTCGTAATACCTGCTGCGGGGACCTGAGGTCCGTCTGATCGGTAGTGCGGCATGAACGAGACGTTTCTCTTGGCGAGTACGGAGTCAGAAAACTTCTGATCTTGAAACGAGGTGTCAAAAATACTCAGTCTATGGTTCTCTGAATCTACACGTATTCTAAGTTGAAGTTATCTGAATCCTTTTGTCGCCTAGGCTGGCTGTCTCGAGGTTTCTTGCMCCCCCCCCCCCCTAGGTTGCCTTGGGTCTAGACTGGAGGCCGAGCATCTCAGGATTCAGATTGATCAACTGATGTCATTTTCAGCCAAGAACAGATGTGTGTCATAAACTTCTTTGGAAGCCACAACCCGCCATCCCCCGGTAACCTTAGTAGGTAAACCAGCCAGTCTCTCATCAATTGTACTCCGCAGATGGCTACCATCATGACGAAGCCTTTGCCTCCCGAGGCGTGGAAAGTATACCACAGCTTAACACTGCTCTCGGGTTACCCGTGCCGTCCTTACCGAGGACGGGCCACCGACGTTCTGTGCCGACAGCTGTACTTTTATTCGCTTGGACCTCTGAGCCACTTCCAATTACCAATGGTCTCTGATTGATGAATCAACAGAAGTCCCAGCATACCTGGCAATGCTTGCATCTTGGTAAACACTTCTTGCAGATATGCTTGTCCTACCCTGGCAATCAATTAGCGATAATTTCAAAATGTGGCTGTAAAACGAGGCCCAGGAAGGGAAGGAAATTTTGAAATACTGCAACATACCTAGTAACTGTCGTTGCAGTATTTATATTGGGTACACTGTTAATATATAAGTCGATCGATTGTGAGCTCTTCACACCAAGGAACAAATCTGATTCAAGGTCACAAACCCCAGAAAGGTACAACAAAATGTCGAGTAAAATCACGTGTTCTTTTCGTTCCAGACTGCAACCACAGTCAAATACAAAAATGGCCTTCCAGAGCCTGATAGAGATTGCATCCACTGCTTCAAATCATTAGAGCATGGGACTTCCTGCAAATCTCATGCCTTTTATCCCGTGGCCCTCTCCACTGTCATGAAACTACCGAATATGCACAACGTGACATAGCCATGTCTAGGTATTTCTCTTTGATCTACTGCTCCTCCTCGCCCTGGGGCTCCTCAATCTCCTCCTCATCATCATCGTCGAAGCTACCAGCAGGCACCTCGTACAGACGGAGGATAGACTTGTTCGGGTCCTTGACGAGGACAAACTTGGCATCTTGGCTCTCGCTGCTGAGACACATGTCGGCGATAGTGCGAACAATACCCCAACCATTGGAGAGAGAGAGGTTCATCTGGTTAGCGAAATCGCGGGGCTTCCAGCCGATAACGCCCAATACGACGTGCTTGTCATTGGAGCGGGGGGTAAGACGGGAAACAAAACTGCGGACCGATTAGCAAGACATTCGAGTATCACTAAATTAGCAAACTCACCCAAGCTTCATCACGTCTGCGCTGGCAAGGATGCTCTGCACTGTCCAGCGGGCGAGCTTGCAGCTGTTGTTCTTCATCTCGGTAGCAACAACAGCACCACGCTGGGTAACAAGCTTGCTTCGCCAGTCAAGAGCACCGCCGCTGCCTTGAGCCTTGCTGTCAAACTCGTTGAGAGCATGGATGCTGACGTGCTGGTCCTCGCCGCTGATGGCGTTCCTTTGAACGGCGTCGACCTCTGTTCGGACGACAAGGTGGACAGGCTCCTCCTCGTTGAGGGAAAGGTCGAACCGTCGGTACTTATAGGCCTTGCTGGCAGGAGGGTCGGTATCCTCAGACGAGTTGTAGAAGGGATTGCCGTGAGCCATAGTGACCTTCGACGACTCGCTCTCGATGACGACCTGGTTAGTGAAGTTGTGGTTGATGTAGGTGGCCTCCTCGGCAAGGGCATTGGGTTGGTTGATGGTGTCCTTACTACCATCAGCAGCATCGAGAGGAGCATCGGCAGCATTCTCATTGACCGTCACCATATCAAGAGCGGCATTGTCGCGCTTGTCCAAAAAGATCTTGTTACCCTGTCGAGAAATGACAATGTCCCAGGGGTAAACGGATCGAGGAGAGCACATGAGCATGGACAAAATACTATCCGTGGCAAAGATAGTTGCCTCGTCCTTCTCGGCAAGCTCTTGGATTACGGGATCGGATGAGGTGGTAACGTTGTAGGCAGCACGGTCGATTGGTGTGAGCTTCTTCTCGGCACCCTTGACAGGCTGCTTGTCATAAGAGCGGTCATAGTGGTAGAGGAAACCGTAGTCATCGATATCCTCGCCCTCGTCGGTGTCGAGATTCAGCTTAGCCAAGCGGTTGAAGTCGATCTCCTCAAGAAGCTTCCACTCAGCCTTGACATTGATACTGGCGTCTCGGTTACGAGCAGGCTTGTCATAATCCTTCCAGCCAAAGCGGCGACCGCCACGACCAGGATTGGATCGGCCACCTCGGTCGTAGCCCTGTCGACTAGCGGCACCGGCGCCGCCTCTCTGAAGCTGGGTTCGTCCGCCCCGGGCACCGGCCTGGCCTCCACGTTGGCCACGGCCACGAGTGAAGACGGCCCCGCGGCCGTATCTTGACTTTGTCGAGTCTCGGACGTTACTAACGACTGAGAATGTTGATTCGTCCTCGGCAGGAGGGGCATTAAAGGTGATGGCGTGGCTAGAGCCATAGACTTGTTGGTCTGCAGGAATTATTGCGGTCAGCCAAGAGCTCATCTAAGACGAGTATGATCTCGACAGAGAATAGAACACGACAACACGATATGACCTACCTCGGAAATTCCTGTTGTACTGTGCTCGTCCACCTCGCTCTCTATCCTTGCCCTCGGCAGTCCAGTCGGCCATGCGTCCCAGCTTATCGCCCTTGGAGAAAGGCGCATATGGAACGCCGTTGAGGGTAGTCTCTGTGGTGACTGCAGGACCCCAACCGTCACCGGCGGGGCAGCTTTCGCAGATCTTGACGTAGTCGAGAGAGTCCGCCATTTTGGAAAGAATAATATCGATGATTTCTTTGCGCTTTCGGATGCGCGATAGGCGAAATCAATCAAAGAAGCTTGGTGTTGGCTTCGGAAGCGGGGGATGCGTCAATGAATCTTTCGGTTCACAAGCGATGCTAGAATTTGGACATCCACGACGAATTTGTGGTGGGGTGGAGTGGGGCTTGAAAAAAACACTCAAGCCCCGCGGTGCTGATTGTGTGCCTCAGCCACGGCACTCAGCCACGTTTAACAGGCATAGGGTAAACATAAACTTCACTCAATAGGTAGAGCAGATCATTTTGAACGGTTCTAGGTCAAAATTGACTTATGCATGATGTTGCGCGCCCTATACGGTAGTATGCTCCTCTTATTATTGACAAATAAGAGGGTACAGGAGAGACCGAGACATCTGTGATTTCAACAGATTTCGTGACTTATAACAGCCAGAATAGGTGGGGACAGTTGCTGGAGATATGCCCATAATAATTAAGATGTCAAAACAGCAAATAGAAACATACAAACAATAGCTGTCGTCTCCCTGACTCGAAAAATACAAAACAAACTCCTATTCACACATCATCGTGTCCTTACCGCCGAACACGTTGTCGATAGCATCTCGCACCTCAAATTCCTCCATTACAGCACCAAAGCTTGACCAAGTCAGTGTATGCTGGTGTGACGTTGTAGAAAAACTTACCCATAGCATCTCACCTTTCGAGTGAGTTCTTCACTCAGCTTTCGGAAGTCAACCGCCTCCAACTCATTTGCCCTTGGGTGTGACATGAGCATACCCCATGACATGACAGGAGTTATCTCACCATCGAGGTCGATACTCTTACTTAGATCCAATAAAGTGGCAAGGTCTGCCTTTGGAACTTCCCATGTCTTCTGGTTCGTATCGCCATCCAATGGAATATGGGTTTTCCCGAAGGGCAAACCTGGTCTTGTTTCTGGAGCCGGGCCTGGTGGGCACGATGCCATAAGTGCATGCCCACAGGGTTCGCCTTCAGGCTCAGATGCTCTCTCAACCATGAACTGAATATGCGTCATGCACGGCCTCTCGAGACTACATGTACCCGCGATCTGTTAGCTGATCTAAACATCAACATGTCCTGCCAAAGCTCACCCATGGCGCAATGCAACTCGCGTCATATCACATAGAGGGATCACTGGGGATTGTTCGAGTAGGAGTTATCGTACGTTAAAACGAAGTCAATGCCCGCCTGTTCCAGCTCAGGGTTTCCACGATAAAAGGGCTGAAGCATTCCATGCGGCTGGCCTGTCGTGGAGCCTTGATCGACGGCCACAGGTAGGTTCAATGGAGAGCCAACCGATGGCGCTGTCGATCGCGAGGTCATGGGCGGAGAACTTGTATTGGCCGAGTCGGGACCACGGCTCGTCGCGCTGCCTGCTACATGCGGGCTGCTATATTGAAGCCCAGCCTGTGCCAAAGTGTCTCGCAGCCGTTTGTTCTCATCGGCCAATCTCTCCCGATCCAATGAAACATTGCTGAAGACCTCTTTAAGGCGAAGAACTTCATCTTCCAGTGCCTTGATGTAGAGCTCCTTTCTTTCGCGATGTGTTCTGACAAAGGACACATGTTAGATACAGGCATTCGTCAAGCTTGCGCAACATTACCTCTGTGCCTGACGATTCAACTCTTGCCGCCTGGTCAAGGCAGGCTTGCTGTTGGGCTTGGGCCCTCGCTTCTTGGGGGGGTTTCCATCTAAAGCATCAATCAGTCCCGTGAGCAGCAACGCGGCAAAGGAGTCACGTCTGAAATACTTACCGCGCGTCGTCCTCTTATCGGTGAGACTCTTGTAAAAATCGGGATCGAGGGTGGAGGCCGCAGCATTGTCATCTTCTGAGCTGGCGATAACTCGGTCCGGCGAGAGTGACGAAGAAAAGGAACGCTCTGTTGCGCTACCGAGATTGGCATTGAAGGCAGCCATACTGGTCGCCTATGAGAGGTAGGAGTCGGGCGTTATCTAGTCACCTGGACCCCAAGAACCATGAAGCATATGAGGTTGGACACGCAATCGTCAGGATAAAACTGTTGTTTGTAGAAAGGACTGTCGTGGCTGTGCTCCTGTATCATGAACAGTTGGGGATCGGAGGCGCCCCAGTTGTGTATAATGCCGACCCGACTTAGTAGGGATGCCTTTTTGTAATTTACAGGAATATGATCAATGAGAGGCGATTGACACACCACATTAGTGACACGTACTTAGTAGGTAGCTTGCTGCAATGATTTGAGATACTTGAGCAATGAGGTTTATTGCTTGGTCAGATTGATGATCGTGGGAATTCTAGAACCAGACAAGTCGTTAACGTATTAGTCAGGGTCCCGTGTGAGTCGGCGCCACTGAATCGCTGCATTGGGCCCAGACGGGCAGTTGTGCAGCAGTCCATGATTTCTACCTGGGTACAAACTCAATGTACCTTTTACGGTGCTCCTTCGCCGACTGAGTTGGAAGGTTACGCCAGTCAAAAACGTCTTTGCACAGGTAAGGTGGGTACCTAATGTAAGCTGATCAGTGAAGCACAAACCTCAGACTGCGAGGTGTCAGCATTGACGACTACACTTTAAAGGCAGGTTCTTTCGACATTGGGATGGCTAGGTCCGTTACCTTGGGTTAATAAAGGCCCAACAGCGAGGAATGTTAATTAATTCTTCATATCATCAACGAACTAATAAAAAGAGAAGGGTGGCGTCACCAGGAGTTTTGGGACTAGATCAGGCTTCTGAAGCGGCATTGAAGCGTCCGATTTAAGAGGTCGAGAGTCTGATTGACAGTGGAAGCATAGATTTCCGTCCCATTCCATCTTGTGAATTGACGTTGCCCCGCACTCGGCACCCCATAGCCGTGAACGGAATGGCTTTTGTGTCCGTTCTCAGTTTAACATCCATTGATTTGCAATTACCCAATGATGTATCCACTACCATCGATCATTTAAAGAGCCCTAAATTACTAGTAGGTACCTTAGGTATTCACTACAATAACTTCAACAAGTAGGTACCTAGTACCTAGTAGTTATAGGTTATAATCTAGGACCATTCGAGAGTTGCTTGCTTATGGCCCATGGGCAATTGGATCTGCGTAAACCCTGTCAATAAAGTATCTAGCCTGGATCTAATATATAATCTCGATATGATGCCTTACATTGTGTTATGTTGAAAATAAGCATCTTATCATGTTATCTTCTTATCTGAGACCCCGATTGGCTATACCTCACGTATTGCTACAGGGACATTTTGACTTTTCAACATAATCTCGATAATTACGCTAATAAATGATAATGGATGTTTACAAACTTCACCGACCTCAGTTGGAGCAGTGGCCAGGTTAGGGAACATGCTGAGAGACGGTAGGGAATTGCCATGCAGCGTACAAGCCCTTTCTGAGGGTTTTCATCAGAGTTGAGAGACCTAGGAGTCTTGGGGAAAGGGAGGCGTTTCCGAGGAATAAGACAACGAGGTCTCGCTCGACTTCCGACAGCCAGATGGCAGAGAGAACGGACGCTGGGCACTTTGGCTTTGCACTGTTTCACCAGCTTTGAAATCCTGTAGTTCTCTGCCGATTTTTCATCCGTCCCTTGTCATCCTTGTGAGATAGACATTATCTACCGGACACACACGATAAAGTCACTGCCTATATACTTGACTAACTGGATGTAATAAAGTTCCAGTTCACTGACTTCAAACAAACAGTTACTCAATGTACCTTGAAGGTGACTGTTATATGTGGCTTCATATTCCTCTATTCCCGAATTCTAACTCGATCCCCTCAGAAGCCTCTTGAAAGACGAATCGCTGGCAAAAATACGGCAGTTGAAGTGGGTGCATGAAATGTGATTTGCAGCCGTTGAATCTTGGATGCTCATGCATTTAATAAGTGGTGTTATTGGTCATGGTTACGCATCTATTTTGGTCAGGGGGTGAAGCTGGAGGCTTGTGTAAACCCTCGGGGGCACCACATGGGTAACATGACATAAGATGATGGTGACTGGTATTGCAGCTAAAATCTTGGGGTGGGAGGGGAAACAGCACCAGCATCAGCTCATTTCTATTGTGAACCAGAAACACTCGTCCAAGTAAGTCTTGATTGCCCCAGTTGAACGTGGAGTTGATCATTCGCGCAGAAGAGATGAGGTCAGCCCGTGTGAAAAGAGGAGGCAGCGGTGAGCAGTAATAAGATGGCCCACGGGATATATAGAAAATATGCGAACATCACATAACAGCAGCATGAGTAGTCACTAGGTAGGTGCATCATCATATTGATCATGCACTCTCCGTCACTATGCCCCTATTCATAGCCCATGTCGATGTAATTGTGACAAAACTGCTGTATCTGCGCAGCTAACTTACACTTGCAACCCTCTCAACACTCATTGCAACACTAATCGAGGAAACGAGCATGCAATTCCTCGAGTGCAGACAGGGAAAGCTTCTATAGAATTCACCAAGACAACAATCAATCGCACGTGGTATGAGGAGAAAACATCATCAATCTTGGATTATGGGTTGCCACGCCGCTACGAATTCATAGGCTCGATACTGCAACCCTAGAAGCGAAGCTATCCATATGGCAAATAGCGGTACACTAATTAGCTAAGACTTTAACACAGCGCCAGAACGACCGCAAGGAGATGTGACAGACTCGTGAGGGGGACGTAGGAATTGCGTCTTGATGAAATGTTGCCTGCCTCTGGACTTGCTTCTGCTTCAAAATGTCCGGTCCGTTTCCGCGACGCCCGTTGTTGGCCAGTGGCCTGTTTAATGATAACCCTTTGCAAACCGTCACCTGGGCAGGATGCTTACTTTAGATCTACCTCCGTCAACGCCTGCATCTGCATCTGCACCGACGGTCGCGTCTGCGCCCCCGGGTAAGACAGCACCAACTGGACGCCATTGGGCTGTCGATTGGTGGACAAGACTTGTGATGCTGCCACAGAAGGCGGAGATCATCAGTTCTACGCTCTGCGGTGTTCGTGCTGCAGCCCCAATGAGGCACCTGATGAAAGAGACTTTTCCATATTTTATCCATTTGATGGCACACGAAGTCCCTCTTCGGCTCTCAAATGGACTTATGGAAGGATAGTTTGGGGACGGAATCTCGATCGACACAAGCAGACTAATGCCTTGCCTTACGTGTGATGCCTGGAGGAAGGAACCTCAATGCTCCCCCCTTTCAGTCTGTCTTAGGTAGTAGTCTGTCCATCCCATTAACTGCACCCATTTATCAATGCGACAAAAGCCTTCGTTGCTGGAAGAAACTGGAGGGGGGGACTTCCAGGGTCGGGCCTAGGATTGCATGAAACAATGCCAGACGACCTAACAAAGGCTGGTGATAGTGTGTAGAACGCCCGCCAAACAAATCAAACACCCACCCCACAGGACCCTGTCATCCTTCTGATGGACAGAAATACTTCAATACATAGGTAGGTGTCAATGTCATTGGAAATCACTAGAGTAACTACCTTAACTAGTTACCTGGTATTGCATGCTTCCGATTTGGCGAGCATAGCGAATGAGAAATCTATGGAATTAGGGGGCATTTAGTTGTTATCGACAAGGTTCCAAGAAGCAATGGATTGCAAAGCCATTGAAAGGAAAGCGGGCACCCACTGCACAGTCACAGTGGAACATTATGGGTGGAGGCCATATCCGTAAAGCGCTGTTAAAAAAAATCCATACCCGCAAGATATTGTAGCTTTACAGGGCTAGGAGCTTGATTCCCGGGAGATGGTGGGGGGTGATTGGTCCAGCAGCGCATTCCCCCGCTTATTGTATCATGAGAGGAACGCGCTTTCACGATGGCCTAAGGAGCCATGGCTCACCTGGGCCCAAACTTTGTCTTTCTTCCCCTTCGAGGCTTAAGGCGATTCTTAAACCCCGTGCTGCAGTATCAAGCAAGCTCCCGAGGACTGAACAGACTAGGCAACTTCAAAAACAGATCTATCGATTGTGCTGTCAATTCGAGTCGACTTCCTTTTACCTCACCTCGCATCGTCCGAGCAGATACCCACGGTCACGATCACGGTACGGTACGATCACGGTTGGCCCCGTTCTCGGCTGCACCTGAAGGTGCTCGCACGCTTATAAAAAGTCACCCCTTTGACTTCCAGGCGTTAGGGTTACAACTCGATCTCGACCTCATTGTCCGGTTCATGCTTAGAAGTCGTACAGCGTCAGCCCGAGAACCCTCGCTGTCGACCCTCAGTCATGTCTCCGAGTCTCGCGGGTCTGTAGTTCTGGCGCCCTTGCCAGACCCTGAGTCTCCCCACTTGTGCTTCTGCTGGAGCTGCCAGCTATCCTGACGTTGGGCCCTGGCCCAAAATCCCACGGTCGATGAAACCTGCGAAACATCCATTGCACTATCTATTTCTGGTTTGCACATCAGTCGCTTTTGAGATAAGATGGAATCCCCGTCCGGCGCCACCCTGGCACCCCCGGCCGTTGCCTCGCTAAGGGCACAACAAACAACTGCTATGGAGAGGTCTTTGAGCCAGGACATCCGGGAAGAGCGCGAGGAGCTTCGAGAAGCTGCTGAACAGACTCTCAATACCATCGTGGACCTCAATCTCGATGGCACAATTAAATGGGTCAGTCCCTCATGGACTGATGTTGTAGGCACCCAGTTCGAGACAGTCAATGGACTGCCTATCTCCGACCTGATAGTTAGCGACAACAAGCATGTTTTCACTGAAGTTGTCGAATCCATGAAGAAAGACGATTCTCGGAGCCACCGAGTCCGATTCGCTGTCAATCTTGGACCCCTCTCGAAGCTTTTACCTATCGACGACCTCGAAAATGACCCCGAGAACGAGCAGTCACATGCTGTAGACCTTGAAGCCCAAGGCATTATGGTATACGACAGTGTCTCGGGTGGAGAGAGCCATGTAAGATTCGTCGATGTTGGCTTTCTGTGCAATACTGATCTCGCCTAGA